AGATTTGTAATTTTCTTTTTTGCATCTTTATATGGTTTGGGTTTCAGGGTAATTGTGGCCTTATAAAATGAATTAGACAATGTTTCTTCTGTTTCTTTTTGTGGAATAATTTGAGTGGTATTAGCAGTAACTCTTTTATGAAAGTCTGGTAAAATTGTGCCATAAAAGCATCTTGCCTTAGACTTTTTTAGTTTACAGACTCTTAATTACTCCTTTCATTTTCTTAGGTGTTATAGGCCTTTTTTTTTATATATATAATCTTCATTTAACTTTAGTAAATGGTACCTATTGAGAAAATTACCCATTTCTTTTAGCTTTCACAATTTGGATGATTATAGTTTTTAAAGCATGCCCTTATGATTATCTAGATTTCCTCCATGTCTGTTGTTATATCCTTCAGTGCTGATATTCAAAGTGCATATGATTATGCCTAGCCTCAGTGTTTGCTATTAAAATGTCACTATGTGGCAGATGCAAGGCTAACCTCAGTAATTTACTAAACTTGAGGTCAACCTGGACTACTTGACACCCTGTCACTCCAAAACAAAAACATCTGTGGGTGGTGATGGACAAATGTAATACCAAGACTCAGTGGCAGAATCCGAATGATGGGAGCCTGTTCAACCTAGTGTTCACATAGAGTTCCATGAGGTACCTATTGTAGGTAGTCAACAGAGTAGACTTCTGGAACATGGATTTAAGCCAATAGAAAGTTTTTATTAGCTGGCCTGCTACTACACTTCGTGTTCTGGATTTCAGTTTATTCCTCGCCTTTTTCAGGATGAGCTTTTAAGCATAAAAATCATGTTCTGGGGCGACATAGCTCAGTTAACAAGAACAGTTAACCAGAAGCAGAACTACAGATGAAAAAGCAAGGTTAGTACATTTAGAGAATTCCCACAAATACAGACTTGGATGGAATAGGCCTTTGTTTATATTTTTGGCAGATGGTGTTTTTTAACTGCTGAGTATTGCAGCCAGAATGCCACCTCCATTATTGAGTCAATTGTTCTAAGATCTTGGGCCTACTGAGTTCTGGGGCCTGTTACATTCTCCCCTGGACTAAATGAATAAATCAAATCATGGACTCATCCTGTTTTTGTTTAATATGCAGAGCCCCCTGCCATTAATCCAATCAGAATGAGAATTATAGGCCCAGTCAGTACTGATAGCAGAGTAGTTAGCCAGAGGGACCAAGAGAACAGAGACTGGTATCAATTATTTCCTTAAACATGACTTTTTAAAAATTACTCCTGATCAATTATTATTGGAACAGCAGGTTTCTTCCAAAGCTATACATATTTTCCTTTATCTCATGAGAAGTAAGTCTAAGTCTTTTTGATTTTGTAATGTATTTTTTGTAAGGGAATCTAACTGTTGTTTTAATTCAGAAATGGAAACTTTCAATACCATCTTGTCCTGATCAACCTGTCTACTTGGTTTGGAAGAGGCACATATAGTGAAACCATTGCTACATGCAAACCAAACCATCTCAGGGATTCAGCAATATTGTTATCCTGATGAATTAACTCATAAAGCAGGACATTCATTTTGGACTGCCCCCAGTCACAGTGAGTTTCATCAGTCAATGGACTGATAGTCTGGGTAGTTCCTATTCCTGTGTAGTATGACAGGGGCCAGGTGTTAAGCTTAACCAGCAATTCTGGTCAATTTCTGGTTTGGACTGATTAATTCCATCCCCAGGGCTCCTTCCTGTGGCATAGAGTATGATTCACAAAATCTAGAATCTTTTTTGTGAACTTTTCTGGAGGATTCAGTTTCACAAATCCATTTTTTTTTTTTGTAATGGAAATTCCCTTGTTTCTGGAAATCAGGGCACCCAGCCACAGGGCATTCATAGAATTATAAACTATATATATATATATCTATATCAAAAGATAAACCTCCATACTTTTTCTTTCTCTAAATATAACTAGACATTTAAAATGGGCTTCAGTGAGCAAAGATCAAAATGAATAAGAGTTGCTGGTCTGTAGTTAAATTAGATAAAACCTTCCTCTGTCTGTCTTTTTTAGTTCCCAGGTTCAGGCCTAAGAGCTGTGGGAGTTGGAGCATGACCCTGTATTCATGCAAAATATAAGACTCAGGAGGAGTTAGAGGGATATGGAGTGGAAGGGCTTGGGGACCCAATGAAACATTAATTTTAATGAGTCCATTGTGCAGAGACACTCCATTTAGCAGCATCTGTGACCTCTGCATTCTTGACCTGGGTGTGGTGTGTCCGTGATACAATGCCAGCTATCTTCACTGCCATAGAGTAGAGAGAATCACGTTTTAGGGTCCTTTCCAGGTTAGATCTGGTGTCCTTGCCTACTCTCTTGACCAGACAGTATCATTGGACTGGAATGAGGGGAAATTGGTGGTAGACTCGGAGGTCAGCTGGGTCTCTTGAGTAGTCCAATGAATAGCCATTATGGAGAACTAGAGTGCCTCTAGTGCCTTGAGAAAATAAGGATTAGACACTTTTGCCAGTTGTTTGTCTCTGAGCCTCGGAAGCAGTAGGGGAAGTTTCTCAAGAATAATCTCACAGGGGCTAAATCTCTGTAGATGGCCCAGATTATTTCAGTTAATGGAACTGCTGATGCTCCGAGATACCTGGTTTCATTTACATCTCCTGACAGTCATGGATGAGCATCTATGTCATCAAGCATGAGGATGGCTGAATTGATGGTGGTGGGTTTCTCAAATTAGACTTGGGTGAGCCAGTAAGTAGGGCCTAGTGCTTGGTCAGACAAGCATTAGATAGTCAATGTTTTGGTGCTCCTCAGAGGAGGGCCTGGACCATGCTGTGGTATACTGTGAGTATATGATCTTGACCTTTATGTGTCTCCTTAAACTTTGTTTTTTCACCTCCTCCTTCTTCTTCCTCTTCTTCTTCTTCTTCTTCTTCTTCTTCTTCTTCTTCTTCTTCTTCTTCTTCTTCTTCTTCTCCTCCTCCTCCTC